GCTAAACCTTTCATACCCTTTAATTCATTTATCCTCATAAAAGCTCCATAAGGATAGTATTTTTCCATTTTGTAGATGAGAAAACTGAGGCTTAAGGAGGTTAAGTAACTTGTACAGTCACTATGATGCAGTATCATTTGCTACAACTAGTTAATAGCTGGCCTTTTAACAACATGATGGCAGCTGACGTTTGTGGTATGCTTAAGTGTACAGACAGGGTGCTAAGAATGTCACTGGCATTATCTCATTTAATCCTCTCAAGATCTAAGTGATTTATACTTTTTCTGAGGCCTAGATTTATTTGACCAGCAATATGATTGGGTTGAAGGGGAAGAAACTGGGGCCAGAAAATCCAGTCAGGACCTAAGAGTCCAGACAGTGCTGATAAGAACCTAAAATGAGGGTAAAAACAGTAGGGATGGGAAGGAGAAAACATTCCAGAGATAGTCTGCTTCTTTGTTGAAACATAAATTCTTTTTTTTTTTTTTTTTTAAGACAGAGTCTTGCTCCATCCCCCAGGCTGGAGTGCAGTGGCGTGACTTCAGCTCACTGCAACCTCCACCTCTGGGATTCAAGTGATTCTCCTGCCTCAGCCACCTAAGCAGCTGGGATTACAGATGTGCACCACCATGTCCAGCAAATTTTTGTAGTTTTAATAGAGACAGGGTTTCGCCATGTTGGCCAGGCTGGTCTTGAACTTCTGACCTCAAGTGATCCGCCCACCTCAGCCTCCCAAAGTGCTGGGATTACAGGCATGAGCCACCACACCCAGCCAAGACATAAATTCTTGTTTGAAAAAACTTCCTTTCCATCTCCAATCAATTCTTCCCTTCCTGGGTGATTAGGTTACTGCATTTTAATGAATTGTAATGAATTTAGGCACCTTAATGAATGAATGGTGTCAGCACTGATAGTGCTGTAGACCAGACTTTCCCATTTATCCATAGAAGTGTGGGCAGCAGCAGCCATGTAAACTTCTCTGTCACATGTCTTATTTCTCCCCTGCAGTGGTAACTGACAGAGACCCTCTTTAATTTCTTAGCTTTTTTAACCAAGAGAGTAGAAACTTTCTGACTTAAGTTCAACAATGTGTTAGTTCAGCAACAACAAATACATATTTATTGAAAAGCTCTCATTTAAAGAATAGGCCATCACTGTGGGAATCTCAAATATAAATAAAAATCAGTTTGGAGACACACCTAAACAAGGCTGTCAAATAGAAAGCAGAGGTGGATTCATATTAGTTGGTGTCAGTAACTTTGTAGAATGAGCACTGCCTTCTTTTCAAGTGTGTGTGTGTGTATATATATATATATGCTTGAAGTATATACTTGAAATATATATTTTATATATATATATATTTGCAGTTTTCTCTCTCTAAATATAAGAACCATTTAAAGTGTTTAGAAAAGTATTTGAAATTTTGATATCTAATAAGTAAAATCCCATCCATGTTCTATTTGTTTGGAATCAATTATGCAATCTTCTAAAGAATCACCAGAGTAAGATGTATGAACACTGGGTATCTTTTGTCTTATAATGGATGAATTCATTGTTTTATTTATTCTGCTTGTCATAAGTAAAGATGTAATGACATTGCTGCTGCAAATAATTCCTTTTCAGCCCCAAGGAGCCTTTAGTTAATTCTGAATGGCACAAAGGGTTTATGTAGGGTTCATCCATATTTTAAAAATGATATCTACTATATATACTCCCAAGCTGGAACTTAACAGTAATGCTTGGGAGTATGCTGCAGAATCACTTCATTGGTAATGCTCCTGCTAAAGAGATTTTGATATGCCAAGATGAGATATAAGAGATTCACTTTGGCCGGGCGCGGTGGCTCACACCTTTAATCCCAGCACTTTGGGAGGCCGAGATCATGAGATCAGGAGTTCAAGACCAGCCTGGCCAGTATAGTAAAACCCCGTCTCTACTAAAAATACAAAAATTAGCTGGGTGTGGTGGCATGCACTTGTAGTCCCAGGTGAGGCAGAAGAATCGCTTGAACCTGGAAGGCAGAGGTTGCAGTGAGCCGATTGCACTCCAGCCTGGGTGACAGTGTGAGACTCTGTCTCAATTAAAGAAAAAAAAAAAAAAAAGATAGACTCACTTTAAACCACTTCTTACTCCATTGTGAGTATATCTGTGTATATTCATTCATATAGACTGAGCCTCCCCCCTAATTTCAAAGAATGATTTCAGGTCTTTCATTTCCAACTTAAGTTAGTAAAGTAAGTCCCTACCCAATGGGGTTTGATTTTTCTCTCCAGTTAAGTGATCAAAGCTAAATCATCAAAGCCTGAATGTCTTACAACAGATTCTAATAAGCTCCGAGTTGGCTATTCTTCTTAGTTTTAATCAAAGCAAAGATGGCATTTGCATTTTTGTCATTTCCATTTCAAAGTGTTGTTAGAGTCAGAATCACCCTGAATGGTTCCACATCAGTAGGATCTGCATAGCCGTACCCAAAAGCTGTCCCTGCCAGAACAGGGGCCCATTTCTGCATAAGTGGTATAACACCTAAATACATAAACATTGGAATCATGTGTCTAGATTACATGGAACCAAGTTGACATGAAAAGAAAACATGGATAATCTGGAGTTCTTACACAGAGTCCTTAACCCATGATAACATCCTACCACTCTCCTAACTGTTCTTCAGTCCCCTTGACAAACCGTGGGTTCCCCCACTACATCCCTCACATCTTCCCCACAGCATTTATACATATACAACCAACAGTCTTTGTGCCAGCTCTGCCTTGTTTTTTGTTTTTTTGGGTTTTTTTTGAGACAGAGTCTCACTCCATCACCCAGGCTGGAATGCATTGGCGTGATTTTGGCTCGCTGCAAACTTTGTCTCCTGGGCTCAAGTGATCCTCCCACCTCAGCCCCCTGAGTAGCTGGGATTACAGGTGTGCATCACCACACCCAGCTAATTTTTTTGTATTTTTGGTAGAAATGGGGTTTTGCCGTGTTGGCCAGGCTGGTCCCAAACTCCTGACCTCAGGTGATCCACCCACCTCAGCCTCCCAAAGTGCTGGGATTACAGGTGTGAACCATGGCGCCCAGCCTCTGCCTTATTTTCTGTCTTTGTTCTACTTACAGAGTACTCTTCTATTCCTCAGTTAGTATTGTTAACCATGAGGCATGGATGAGAGGGACAAGAAATACAAGAGGGGTGTGTGTGTGTGTGTGTGTGTGTGTATATGTGTGTGTCTGTCATACATATCTACAAAACCATTACATGGTTACCCAGCCATGGTTACCCTCACACTGAGAATGTCCTGCTGGTCTTTGAGTGACCTAAACCATCATGCTCTACTGGGCGGGCCCCTGGAATAAGTATATCATCCATAGCAAATGTGTAGCATTTGGCAAATTTTAGAGTTAAGGCATTTTATTTTTAATAACTCTTTTTTTCATAGAAATGGTGAGACTTTGGGCCAGAAAGTTATTCATATGATTTCTAAATATGCAGAAGTTCAGAAAAGCTTTAGAAATATTCTTCCCCAATTATTTGAAAATTGGAAACTCTAAAAGATTGGAAGGCTGAGCATGGTGGCTCATACGTGCAATCCCAACAATTTGGGAGGCCAAGGCAGGAGGATCGCTTGAGTCCTGAAGTTTGAGACTAGCCTGGGCAAAATAGGGAGACCCTGTCTCTACAAAAAAAAAAAAAATTAATTTGCTGGGCATGGTGGCATGTACCTGTAATCCTAACTACTTCAACTACTTGGGAGGCTGAGATAAGAGGATCACTTGAGCTCAGGAGCTCAAGGCTGCAGTGAGCCGTGATTGCACCACTGCACTCCAGCCTGGAGTGCAGAGCGAAACCTTGTCTCAAAAAAAAAAAGAAAGAAAAGAAAAGAAAAAAGAAAAAATTCAGAGAATGTGCTGAAGAGTATTTGATTTGAAAGAAAATCCATACACTTAAAGCACTCTATATAGCCAAATTAAATTTCCATGTTTGCTGTAGATCTGTTCTCATTCTTAAGGGGATTTTATCCAAATGTTTTGTTATTGTTGGCAAGAAAGCAGATTCTGAATCCACCCTCGTGATTTGTTTTGTTCAGTCTTGGCTTTTGGAACAAAATAATAACCACTTACTATTTTGCCAAAAATTTATTTCTGCTAATATATTTCTTGACAATTGCACAATAATCTTGACTGTCATGAAAATTACTTTGTTTAAAATGTAAGTATATGAAAAAGTATAAGTAGATAAGACACACAGATACGCAACACACACACACCATTATTTATATGTATTAAGCTAAAATATGGCTCTATGGCAAAATGTGAAATCAAAATATTTGTATACTTTGAGGGAAAAGATCAAGCCAAGAACATGTGTTTCAATTTGTTTTTCATTGTCAAGAGGTGAGGGATGGGAAATATTATGAGTAATGGATAATTTACCCTTACCCTCAGATTATCAACTATATGAGTTCTTAGGAGTAACATTTTATAAGTACTGTGTATCTATATTTACACAGGAATGTAACAAAGATAACACTAACAGTGAATTTGGGGGAAAATTTTTAAAATTTCCCCCAGCAGATAATCAAGTCTTTTCTTGAATTTTAATTACTGGTTCAATAGAGAAGTGCTATGAGAAGGCATTCGTATTTTCTTAGAGCAGAAAGTGTAAAAATGACTGTAGAATTTCCTGTTTTAACCAAGAATGAAGGAGAGCTGTGAGCCATTTGCTTCCTGAGTGGCCACATTCCAGCTGTGCAGACTGGTCATAGCACATCTGCCAATCAGAACAGGCCCTGGAGGGAAGCCCTTGGATACTGAGTCTTGTTTACATGCATCGTGACTCTGTTTCTCCCTTCCTCTTGTGTGTTGTACCACTGGGAAGATTAGTGGGGAAATTTGCTATTACATGCCTAAATAAACTATGAAGCTAGGATCACAGCCACAGCAAATGATGTTCTGGACAGAGTTTTAGCTCGACTTTAGCCACAGGTAAGAGTTGTTGTTTTGTTATATGAGGATAGCTAATCTGTATTCAGTTTCTGGCTTTACTTTGAGACATTATACTTCATTTTTGTAGCGAAGCTAGCAGGCTAAAAACTGGAGAAGAATGATTGAAAGAAATGACTTAAGTGTGCCCTGCGTTACTATGACTTTAAAATCTTAATGCTCATCAAATGAAAAACATGATATTTTCATTTAAGGGAGGGGTAAAACCAAGTTAAATTAAAACAGAAAAGTTTTAAAAGCTGCAGTAATACTAAGTCACAGTGTAGAGAAATTGGAACCAGAAATGTGCTAACACTCTGTGTTTGGAAAGCATTATATCTAAGCAGACATGCTTTATTGTGGATCTTTTTACTTACTAGTCTTTCAGAGAACAGTGTTTTCGTGAGTACTAACTCTTTGGCTTTGACAAACATTTCTTTTTTATTATGAACTCATTCAGAAAGAATTGTTACATATGTTTAACTGTATAAATCCTATTCCTTTTTTTCCATATTTCTTTCTAGAAGTTTTAGAGTATGTTTCATAATCCTCTTATTCTGTTCCACCAGCAATAAAATTAAGGAAAAACTAAAAGAATTCCTGTCTAATCTTTAACGTTGCCATTAAATTCTATCTTGTTAGCATTAATTCAGAAGATACTATAGAAAACTGTATTTTGATAATATTCCATAGGATTTTTTCTTAAAGTCATTGCTTAGGATATGTTGTGGTTTGTATATTGTTTTACATTGTTTATTTTTGCATAACACTGTGGCCTTTTACTTCATTTATTTTTAAATCTTAAGCATATAGTGGAGGAAAAATTGTTATTCAGATTCAAAAAAGACAACCTGTGGGTTTTATGATTATTTCTCTTATATATGATAGTCTCAAGGTTGATTGATAGCATTTTACAGCAGTCTAGAGAGGCACTTTTGAAAAGTTCAAGCATCTGTGCTCTTATTTCTTACCCTATAGCAGGGTTTCTCGACCTCTGCACTACTGACATTTTGGATGAGATAATTCTTTTGGTGAAAGGGACTGCCCTATGCATTGTAGGACCTTTAGCAACATTCCTGCTTTCTACCCATGAAGAGCTCCCTTCTTCCCAGTTGTGACAATCAAAAATTTTATATGGAGGGCACATTATATCTAATTACTGGAGAAACATTGAAATCCAACTTCTGAAACGTTCTGGGTGATAGACAGTTAAGGGTGAAGCTGTATTGGTCTTAGTATTTGCAGATGTTGTAGCTGACTGTTCATTTTTTCCCCCTCCCCATTCTGTTAGAAGCTTCTGCCAACCATGATTCATGGAATGATTTTTTTGAGCTGAGTAATCTGTGGCTTTGCAGTTTCCTTGCTTTCTTTCCTTAGCTAAATCTCTTCTAGTGTTAGCAAAGTATTTAGCACAGGAAAGATCTTTTAAAATGAAATAATACATGTAACGATACGTTTTCCAGGTAGATGATTTTAACAAACCATAAGCTTTTATGCCTGTCCTTCGTTGTGTCTTTTCTGCCTCTGTCAGGCGAACTGTAATGAAGAGCCTTATAGTTAGGAAGACACAACTGCCTTTGAACAGTCCTTTGTGAAATCTAATGGTATGGCAGCTGGTATTTAAAAACTTCTTTCCAGAGCTTTTAAAGAACATTTTCACATGTAACCATCTTCTTTCTCTACAGATCGCAACGAACGAAATAAACCAGAACACCGTTCTTCAAGGTATGAATTTACAGTATCTAATAATTCTGTATAAAGCTTCTTATTTGAAAAGTATTGTTGGGAGGCAATGTAAGTGTCCTCTTTAGAGTTACTGTCTATTGGAATCTTCTGTGGCATTCAGAGAAGCTTCATAAGGGAAATCTTGTTCATTCTCTGAATAAAAATTTCATATAAAACTATTGACTACCTGGAAAACATGTTTTATTTTAAGAATTCCTATCAGTGACAGATATATTTTCATAAAAATTATTTTACTCTCATTTCTTTATTTTTGTGACTTATTTTCCTCCCCTCCCTGTAACCAGTATTTTTATAAGTGTGTATTGCTGTTTTCCTAATCATAAAATGAATATAGGCTCACTGTAGAAATTTAAAAGATATTTTAAAAATACAGAGCATGAAAAAAGCAGAACAAAACAAAACCCAGACTGCCTTCCATCAGCCAGCGATGGCTGGCTATTGCTAAAATTTTGGTACGTTTCTTTCTAGACTTTTAGATTATATGTGTGTGTATATATTCAAATGGATTATTTTATATTTTTGTTAGGTATTTCAAGTGGCGGGGAAGGTTGTATCACTTAAGCTGTCAACCACACTGAGTGTATTTCACTAGAATTCTCCGACACTGAAGAGTACATTAAAAAATCCTTGTCAAAGTTAGAGATGAAAAATTGTCTGACTTCTCATAGGCAGGACTGACAGGCTATATTTAATATTTTTAACCCAGTACTATGAAAGATTATAATTTTTCTAATATTAATTTCTTTTTATTCCACATTCCACCACCTTTTTAAAATATTTTATGTTGTGGGAATTGTTAATGTACTCATTGGGTTGACTGCTTTGGTAAACCAAATCCTCATTGACCTCAATCAATAAAAATATAAAATCTATAAACATTTCATTACTTAGAATAGCAATGCATTTTGCAGAAATTGTCAATCAAAATAAGTTAGTGAGACCTAATCTGAGAGAAGAATATAGCTGGGTATTTAGAATATTGACTGATTTTTGTTTTCCGGTACAATTTACATATGTTAAAATTCATTCTTTTTTGTGTATAATCTTATTAGTTTTGACAGGCATGTACAATTATGTATCTACCACCATAATCATTAAACAGTTCATAAGATTCTTTTATTTTAGATACCTAAAGAAAAATAGCAGCCAGGCATGGTGGTTCACACCTGTAATCACAGCTACTTGGGAGGCTGAGGCAGGAGGATCGCTTGAGCCCAGGAGCTCACAACTAGCCTGGGCAACATAGCAAAACACTGTCTCATCTCTGTTAAAAATAAAAATAAGGCAATGTAAGAGAAAGGACTTTGACAGCGTGCTTAACTGTGAGTGACATAAAGTTGGAAGGGTAAAAAATACTTAGGATGGTAAAAACAGGATCCCTAAGAACTTTGACATTCTGAAGATTGGACTGAACTGAGCAATATGAATTTTAATAGGTGCAAATGCAAATCCTTAGAATGAAACACCAGTGGAACATAAAAAGATAAGGGAGATGTGACTTAGCAATATTTTTGAAAAAGTCTGAAGGACTTAGTTCTTCATAAATTCACCATGAATCAAAAATCTTATGTCATTACGTCTACCTTCCCCCAAAAAAGTCTGCACTGATTTGATTACACTGAAAGAAGTTTAGTGTTCAGTCTAAAAGTGGTAGCTCTAGATCATACTTTTTTTTTTCTTTGAGACGGAGTCTCGCTCTGTATTCCAGGCTGGAGTGCAGTGGCGCAATATCGGCTCACTGCAAGCTCCACCTCCCAGGTTTACACCGTTCTCCTGCCTCAGCCTCCCAAGTAGCTGGGACTATAGGCGCCCACCACCACACCTGGTTAATTTTTTGTGTGTTTAGTAGAGATGGGGTTTCACCCGTGTTAGCCAGGATGGTCTCGATCTTCTGACCTCATGATCCACCCGCCTCGGCTTCCCAAAGTGCTGGGATTATAGGCATGAGCCACTGCACCCGGCCTAGATCATGTTTTTGATATTCTATTCAATTCGGGGTCCATAAGACCTTGAAAATTTTAAGTATGCAGTGGATTGGCTATATAGATACCACATGGGGACCTTAAAAAACAAAACAGAATCCCATGCCCCACCCCAGAGATTCTGTTTAATAAGTCTCGAATGAATCCTCAAAATCTGTATATTAAACAGTGATTCTGATGCGTAGTCAGGTTGGGGACCACTGGTCTAGAATATAGCAGCGGAGTTGGGACAGGGAAGATGAAAAAGAAGAGTAAGATAAAAGTCAAAGCTAAACCATAGGAAGACTGGTGTGAGGAATTGGGAGAACTTAACCCAGATGTAGAAGTTTGGGGAAGTGCATGGGATGGAAATGATAACTGACTTCAAACACCCAGAGGCTGATACATGGAGGAAACTAGCAGAATTCTTCCTAATAAATACTGTTCCCTACTAAGAGGAACCCTGGCCGCTGGAGGAATGGCAGATTCTGGGTCTGGACTAAGGGAAAATCAAGATGATCCTGGACATCTAGTTGTGGTAGAAAGCTAGGAAGTGCTCAACTAATGGGGTCATGTTGAAAAGAGAGATGGTAGCATCAAGGGATTTTCACTGGCCAAATTTTGGGGTAATTTCAGTATCCAAAAAAATGATGATAATGGATCCCATGTAGAAGAAATGACAGAACTTAGAAAATCATCATTTTGTAATTCTCAAAGTAATAGTTGATGCAGGCAAAGATCATCAGTGGCAGCTAAAACTTCTGTAAAAAGTTGTTGGGAAACCAAAAGATACCAGCTGCTGTTAAAAAAAAAAAAAAAAGAAGAAGAAGAAAAGGTTATTGGGAAAAGTTGTTAAAATATCACCCCATAGATCAAATTTTAATTGCAAAGGGGGAAAATTTACCATTTCAATGGAGAGACCTAGTGGTCACCATCTAAATCAAGTGGTCAACATGTATATTATCACTAGTGAGATAAGTAGTACACTTATGTAGTAGTCCTAGGAAAAAAAAAAAATACTGGGAGAATATTCCAGATAACAAGAGACCAAAGAGGCCGGTCGCGGTGGCTCACGCCTGTAATCGCAACACTTTGGGAGGCCAAGGCACGTGAATCGTTTGAGGTCAGGAGTTCAAGACCAGACTGGCCAACGCGATGGCCAACTCCGTCTCTACTAACAATTAGCTGGGCATGATGGTCCACACCTGTAATCCTAGCTGCTTGTGAGGCCAAGGCGGGGGTTGCAATGAGCCAAGATGACACCACTGCACTCTAGGCTGGGCAACAGAGTGAGACTCTGTCTTGAGAGAGAGAGAGAGAGAGAGAGAGAGAGACCAAAGATATATTGACGACCAAATCTAATATGTGAATTAAAAAAAAAAAAAACTAGGACTAAAAAGTCCCAACTTTAAAAAAGGTTGGGGAGGAGAGAATTTAAACATGGATGTTATTTTAAATAATATTTTATTAAACATTACTTTTTAAGGTGTATAATAGAAATGTCATTATGCAGGAGAATGTGATTCTTAGGAGATATATACCAAAGTATTAATATAAGGGTGATAGAGTTTTATGTTAGCAACTAAATCTCAATTCAGGGGGAAAAAACCCAGGATGAGCAATAAAGAAACAGATATTGGAAACTATTAATAATTGGTGAATAGATGAAAGGCATATCGGTGTTACTTGTACTGTTTCTTCAGCTTTTTTGTAGACATGAAAATTTCAAAATAGAAAGAAACAGTGGAGAGAACTGTTGTGTGTGTTCCTGGGAGTCCCGGAGGACAGAATGTACCTTTGTGGGTGGAACTTGGAGGGAGATATATTTCTACACAAAATGAGGAAGAATTTCCTGACAGAGCTGGTCAAAAATGGAATGGGCTACTCTGTAAAGTAATACTGTCAAAGAAAAGCTAAACAAGCTAGCGCTGGAAATAAAAATAGAGAAGATTCACGCTTGGCTAAGTCATTATTCTAGATGGCTCCAGCTCCTTGCACACTAATAGCCAATAAATATCTCTTGTGAGTCTCTATTCTGGCTGAGGATACAATAGAATATAAGAAAAAGTCTCCAGGTTGATGTAGGGTCCATTATTGTGGACTTACACTCCCAATCTCTGAGAATCTATTGACCCTAAAGTGAAGTTCCCAGTCTTTACAGTTATATTTTAGGCAATGCTGTGGTACTTTTGAGGGTATTCGGAAAGTATTCTCTGTATTTTTAATCTCTTATTTATACTTTAGTATAAACAAGTTCTTTAGTACTATGTTACTGGTCTTGGTAACCTTGGCACTTAGTAGATTGCCTGGCCCACAATAAACAATAAATAACTGTTGACTAAATAAATGCCAAAGGTATTTTGAGGAGAGAAAGGGAAATGGCAGTATTTTTCCCTTGCAAATCAGGAAGAACCTGACTCTCAAAAGCTCGCCCACAACTATTATTGGATATATGTGTTACAACAGCAAGAAGTGATGCCCTATAAGAAAGGGGAAATGTTTTTTTCAGGAAAGGCCTTCGTTTTCTGTCCAGGGTATCTGCTGACATTGGCGGTGACCTGTTCTTCTCCTGCCATCCTCAGCTGAGCAGGGCTACCCTGCCAGGCCAGCAGTGCATCAAGCAGATTAATACCTGCTGCATCAACAGAGCAGAAAGAAGAAAATATAAACAAAAAGTCATTTAATTTTGGTATATTTTTTGGTTCTCAGGCCACTCAGCAACAAGAATGATGGGCTGAAAGCCCCGCAGGGATAACGGAAATGCATTTCTCTTGTTTGTGTTTTTAGAGACCACGCACTCCTATAGCTTTCATAGTAAGAGGTGAATAAATCTGGGACGTCTGCCTGTTCTTTCACTTCAGTGCTAGACTAAGAAGGAAAACATAATTCTTGTCAAGTTAAAGGAAAAGTTTTATCACATGTAGGCCAACACTAAGACCCCAAGCCAAAGGCATCCTGGGTGTTTTTTGATTACTTTGTTTTGATGTTGATTTGCTTGCTGCCGATTGATTGATATAC